CCCCCCTTCTCCGGTATCATGAGAGTGCATTTATACTTGGGTTGTAAGCGGTACACCTGCTACGGGTAGCACGTGACCTGTCATATTGTCATGCTTGTTTTTGGTCACCGTACCCTTCCTTAACCAACTCTCCCCGGTTACCCTGAGAAATTGTGATATCTATCAGTGGCCACACACACACACTATCGGTAAACCACTTGAACAGTGGATTGAACCAGGTTGAATTTGTGAATGATGTCCGGGGAAAGCCCACTCGATTATGCACTTATATGGTACTGTCATGCACTCCGCATATCATTGAGCCAAGAGGCCTGGGGTTGCGTCCTCAAAAAAAAGCCGGTTAATCCTGAGAATGTCTACTGTACCAAATTCCTACGAATGTCCTTGATTTTGATGAATCCGGCAGTATCAAAAATGTAACAGTGAATGGTCGTGCGGCTACGGCTACCCAGTCAGTACACGACGAGTACGAGGTGCAGATAGATAACCCGGGGGCAAAGAAAATGTGAACTGTAATCTCGTATTGTGAATTTACTTACTGTTCATTGATTGCAACTCATACACACAGAACCAAATATCACAACACAGTCGAGAGCATAGCTCACAAGTCATACGATGGTCGCTGTACTCGGATTGTCCTAAGGAAGGAATTCAGTCGATGTCACTGGAGAAATGTGGTTTAAAGCAGCAGCAACAGCAGCAGAGTTTTGCTCGTTTGCGAGCTAACTTTGGTGATGGCGCGCCTTCAAGAAACACTCTGATCCCAAATGGGAAGGGTATAGTGCGTGGAATCCGATACGAGTCACCAACACAGCTGCAATGGAGGCCTCTATTGCATTGGTCGAAGTTTTGTTATCCGCTTCGGCATGATCGATCTGTTTCACCCTAATAGGTTGAGCGCATGGAACTGTATGGGTGTGTGCATGAATGCTGGTGAAGAATACTTCGAGCAAACTGTAATGCTTACTTTTGTGTAACAAACAAAATTTCTTGTGGATCGGTAAACTTTTTTAGTCAGCCTCCTTACTTCGGTAGGTGATCTACAATCCCACTTTAGATGACTGTATATTTCATGGGTAAGTATCAGAGGCTGGTACAATCTTCACTCTGGTTTGATTTTTAGATTTTGAAACCCGGATCTCTCTGCTGATTTCCCACGCTATTCCATTCTACTTGTCTGCACTAGAGAGACATAAATCCGACAAATTGATTGTTATGTGCCCAAATTTTCTTGCCCCATTTCCCCCACCCGCTTGTTTCGTTCACTTTCCCTTCAGGTATCTCGGATGGTGAGAAAAAAACCCGTTCGAACAGTTTGACCTTGAATCTTTTCAAGCGAATCTCTGGCCGCAATCGACGGAAGGAGAACAGCATATCGCTCAGTGGCAGTTTACATGCAAACCCAATGGATATGGCGTTCGAAGGTGAATTTACACACACACGTTTCACTGTAGGGTCTTGTTTCACTCTCTCTCTCTCTCTCTCCTCACTCATGTTTACAGAGGCATATAACATTCAGCAGTTAGCATGTAAGCTGACTGCCCCGACAGGTTTTCCTCAGTCAACATACATGCTAAGTGGTGGATATCATATGCATCTGTCAGTTGAATGAGTAATTCGAATGTGAAAAGATCCCTGCTATCAGTGTGACCTCATAGCTCAGCTGATAGAGCGTGCGTGTACAAAGCGTAGGTTAGGTTTGAATTCCCACGGAGGCTACTTTTTACAATCGCCTTACAAATTGCCAATCTGCTAAATAACAATTTCGTTTCTGTCCTCAGCACACTATTCGGTTGATTGGATTCCACACAGTATACCTGATAGTGGTGATGCAGTGGTTTAGTCGCCGTCACCGGAGTGCTTTGGACCCTATGGTCCGAGGTTCGAGTCCCACCGCTACCGCCACGCAACCTGGGTGGTGAGCAGCTTTGCTGTCGTCCGGTTTAATACCACGCCTAACCTAGCGGGGCCTTATGTGATTCATCTCGGGACTTAGGTTACCGGTTTCAGGAGTTTATGCTGTCTACTGTTCATCACACGAAAAATGTGTACTAAACGAAAATATCATACCGCAGATGTGGAGTACACGAGCAAACATAAAATGCACAACACACAAATCCATATGGGAATGAGAATTTCGTTTCCCTGTTGACAAATGCGTCTGTGTGTGTGTGTTTGTTTGTTCAGATACACTCAGATTTTTTCTGATTTCCCATTGGTCGGGAACGAACGAACGGGGAAAGGGAGCATGCGGAGTGAACAAACAAGCAAGCAAGCAAGCAAACAAACAATGTGCTGTGAGTTTTTAGTGAGCAAACAAGCTCACGTTTCAACCCGAAGGGGTACACACCCCGAGGGGGCACTCAACTCCCCAAGAATCACAACGACAGTTGTTGTTCTTGTTTNGGGGGGGGGGGCTGGCAGAGACGTAGTCAAAGAATCTAGGGTTAACTGTATGCCAACGTTCAAACAAAGCTCATCTGGTACTGGTGTCCCTTTTTCTTATTTATCCGCGAACCGGATAGGAGACGGGGAAATGGTTAAGAGGTGGTTCTTGCCACATAGATTGTGACCGTAGTTTAGAACGACTGAAAGATATGTATTTATCGATCCGAATAATGTATATCGTGTGTAATATGCATAACCGACTCGCTATTCTAAATCCATTGGAAATGCACTGGCAGATTGATTCCGGACAACGCAGTCCGAGTTCGCGTACAGTTAGTGTCTTCACAAAAAAGCCGAACACAATCCCTGGCCCTTCACTCTGACGCTCTTGATACACAGGTAGGACATACACTTCTCACAGTAGATTCTCCGCGGAGAGGGCTTCCAAACGATCTGCAAGATAGGTAAGATACAAAAAGCAACCGTGAACCAAAAGGTCCTATGGGGAGACGTACACACCCAATTCAAAATGGCTGCACCCGCGTTTTCAATGCACATGTATGTGTGTTTGTTGTATGTAACATAGAAAACAGCTTGGTGATCCAGCTAGTTGGACATTTGAATTGTTGGTCGAAAAAGCGCGCACGCTCGCTCGCTCGCTCACGAGAGAGATGACCGATGAGGTAATCCGCAAAAACCTCGATTTACTTACCTCTAAGATCGCGGACTTCAAGTGGGTGAACAACGTCTCTTCGTCGGCATTCGTCAGCTCGACAGTCTGTCTATTCTGTATTTACAATAAGCAATTCTCTAATCCAATCATAGAATTTGTGACAATTCAACAATAGGCTCCGTGTGTGCACACTACTCACAAATTGTGAAGATCAAATAAATAAATAACTCTAGTAATTGAATGTTGCGTAATGATCAGTGCGGTTCTTGCAACCATTAACCATGCAATTTCGTGCGCCTGTTTTGGAGGCTTTCTCCTAACGGTGGGAAGTGTTCGCAATTTATTGGACAGTTACCGCCCACCCAAGCTCAGCAGCACACAGCCAATTAAGCGCTGTCCCGTCCACGTTCCGCCTATCTCACTGAGTGCATAAGGCTAAGGGCCGATCCCCAAAAGCAGACCGACAATCAACTCACTAGCGAACAAAACACTGAACCGAAATTCAAAGGCCTTGCGTGACTGGTCTCCCGAAGCTCCCACACGGGTGCCTCGTTCGCACCCCCGCTTTGGATCTACACCTCGCTGCCTTGTGGGTCAGACCTTTTAGTCAAAGGCTCCGGTTAGTGTTCACAAAGAAAAACTCCTTCGTCGGTGTTGGCAGTCGCGGAGTATGCCGTGCCTCAAAGGTACGCATTTGGAAAACCATTTTTCTCAGTTGCGTAATAATACTGATATATAACAACAATAACGGCGGAAAATATAATAATGATCATTGTTTTACTTCCGAGGGCAATAAATTTAACAAACCAGCCGAAATCCGAAAATTTAGGTGAGTTGGAAAATGTCGAGAGAGAAAAAATAACTGAACACAGAACTGCCGGTATGGCCAACTAGGGGAACAATACGGGATTTTGTCAGTGAAATGGTGGTTTTCAGTCGATGACAATTTAGTTGAAAATAACGTTTTGTCCGCGGTTCGTGCGCCTCTTTCTAGTTGGTT